GATGCGATATCTCCAGCTTTTCGCTGACGTTGACAACGATCAGGTTAATGGAAATTTTTTGATGACTCGCGAAAGACGCGCCAATCAATCTGATGTTTTAATAATTTATTCTCTACGTCACGAAACAATTGTGTCTCATTATTATTTATATTTGTTATATATTATATATATGTATATTTATTATTTTCTTTAAGTAATCAATTTGTACTTTTTTTTTTAAATTTAAAAGAAGAAAATTCACCTTCTCCTTATATATGTTCAATTCAATCATTTGCTAAATTAAATATATGTGTCACGTAATAATATATGTGTTAATAAAGACTTTTTTTTATAGTAATCTTAAATGAAATGTAAAATCTATAAAAGATGTTATATAATTCACACACATATATCGCGCGCGCATGCTAATGCAGCGAAGATTCTTAAAGCGATAATAAATATGCATTAGCTATTACAAGCAAAAATGTGCCGCGCAAGAAAAGATCGCAGATAGCAGAATCAATAGAATCGATTACATTCTCCAGTCAGCGGCCGTGCCCTCCTCACCTTTGCTTTCGCCGCTCGGCAGTCGATGAGCCTACGCCCAGCTAATTAGCCACGAAGCCAACCAGATAATTAGTCTCTAATGGTGTTCCATGCCGCCTCGTCATTTCGTTCTTGCTCCACTTTTTTCTTATCGCCATTGGCTATAGAGAAAATCGTTAATTCGACTCAACTTTATGTCACTTCGCGCGAAACGCTCTGAGAATATGTCAAGGATATGTTAAGTTTCAATTATGTAATAAATAATTGTGTAAAGAAAAGTAAATGAGCATAATTATAAAAAAAGCTATATATTAATTTTAAAATTCGTAGACGGGTTGAGTAGAGAGAGTAACATTGCGGACAAAGGAAAGAGATAAAAGATAACAGTGTGTCTATCATAAATAAGCATTCACTATATAAGAGCGTTCGATCTACTGTCGGCATAACGTTATATCGATTGCGGAGTAAGCCTGTATTTTAGATAGTCTGAAATGTAAACTTCTTAAAGAATAGCGGAGAGAGAAGTTTGATCACGGCTGTTAAAGTTCTTCTACGGTAAATATGTCACGTATTAAAAACACGCCCCACAAATTAGCGTAATTCCATCTTAAGCATAAGATATGGAAATGATGTACAATATTATGAAAACCTTAGCAACTTGAACTCCTTAGATCGCGCGCGATGTTGCAATCTCTAGCTCGGACATTAAAACGACGCCTTCTGGAAACTGAAGTTAACGTGACGATTTACGTTATTTTCGCAAGATCCGACAATCTACGGCGCTCAGAGGAATTAAAACTTTCCGGCGTCACACACATTAGCTCGCTCCGCTGGCACAGTTTTACAGTTCTTACGACTCTAAGAGCGGCTCTTACTCGAAAAATTACCTACTCCGGCACATGATAATTGTATCTTATCACGAAATACGCTTGTCCGTAGCGTGGTCGCGGAACAAAATGCCTCTCTCTCTCGTGTTGTTTTTAGATTGACGTAATGTAATTGAATTAATCGCTGTTACGAACGCAAAACTTCACGATACGGTCAACTATACATCTCTACACAGTTTTACAGAGAGAACGACGAAAAATATATACAGAGTATCCGTCCATAAATGTCCGAGCAAATATCTCACAACTGATTAAAGTTACAAAAAAGTTTAATAAGAGAAATTAGTTTTTAATCTGCAATAAAGCGTATGTAAAAAAATTTTTTTTCTCGTAACTTTTTCAAGTTATAAAGATCACCATCGTTTTTTTTAAATGAAACCCCCTATTTTTATTGCATATTCTTATAGCTCTTCTTGAGACCTTTTCAAAACACTATAATAAAGTATTTTTTGAATTTTTTATATCTGACATATTTTGATATAAAATATATATTTAATTTTCTTTAGATTTTTAAATTTATACATATATATATACAGGGTATCTCATTTTAAATGCTGCAGGTAAATATCTCGAAAAATATGGAAAATACAAAAAAATGTTTCCAACAAAAGTTGCATGGTTTGAAGGGGGTCACATGATGAAAATATGGACTTGACCTTAAGTGACCTTTTCAAGGACAGGTCAATGTAATCGATGTTTTCTTAGATGAAACCCCCTATTTTTATTGCATATTCTTATAGCTCTTCTTGAGACCTTTTCAAAACACTATAATAAAGTATTTTTTGAATTTTTTATATCTGACATATTTTGATATAAAATATATATTTTATATCAAAAGTATTAAATTAAGTATTTTTCAAGTTTTTAAAATACATATTTTATATCAAAATATATCAGATTAAGATATAAAAAACTCGAAAAATACTTTAATCAGTTGTGAGATATTTGTTCGAACATTTATGGACGGGCACTCTGTATACATGAAAAAAAAAAATAAATAAATAAAGCGAAATAATCGCAGCAATACGAATCGAAGGTTCGAAAATTGGCAAGACGGGAAAGTCGGGGTGCCGCGCGCACGAAAATGTGGGCACCGCGCAATGTCAGCGCAATTTTCAGCCTTTGTCGACACTCGAATCGGCGTGAATCGGCGTCGAAAACGCCGTGCATTCATGCGAGCCCATCATTATGCACGCGATATATAATATGCAACTGCATTGCGACTCGGCAATCGTCGACCCTTCCATGCGTCGGTCCGAGCCTCGGCCTCTAACGAGGGGGAAATGCGAAAGGGCGAGAAGGAGCGGAGGGGGGGGAGGATAGTGGCAATGACCATCCCTGAATTCCAACCAAATCTACCGAGCACTCGCGGTCAGGACGTTCGTTCTCATTAGTGATGTCGCGCCGCGTACAACTACTAATTGTAGTTATGTTTCCCGGCACCTACATCGGGTACTTACGTTCGCTCGATGTTAAACAGGTGAGTCCGGCCTTGTAACGTTGCTTCCGGCGAGATTTATTCGCCGTACTCCGACGCTCGGCAGGGAAATCACAGCGTTAAATGCATCCACGTGGTCGTTCATCTCGCTGCTGCCGCTTGTCTCTCCCGCGACTCTACCATAGATTCGCGAGTTTCTTCCACAAATTTAAGAAGTTTAGATTAAACCCGAAGGAGATACACGTAAATTTGCGTATCTCGCGTAATGGAATAATAAACGAAGTGCACGCGCAGTCACAGAAGAACAAGCGTAATTTTAATTGAGAAATTATAGCAGGATGGCAGAGAGGGATATTCTCTACATTCGACGAAGAGAGTTCCTTCTCTTTATTCTTCGATCGCGGAGATCTTATCGAGAATGAATAAGTATTTAAACGGTAGAATTCGAGATTTTTGTTTTAATAAAGTCGCATTTTAGTCGCATAAAATTGAATCTCAACAAATTTAATTAAGGCGCGGATGGGAGATTATACGATATTCATATCGCAGTCTTTTATTAAAATCCACTAAAAATTCCCGCGCGCATACAACGCGCCTCGCGTACTATCGCGCGTCGATGTAAATAGGACTTTAATCCGCGTTTCATCTAGAATCTATTTCATTTCCGAAGCCAAGGAAGAGCCCTTCCAATCGGATACCCGCTTGGATCCGCGCGTTATATTTAAATATTCATCGGCAATCTCTTATATGAAAGTCTCGGGCGCGCCATTACCGAATGGAAAAGTTAATTGCTACTTTGCATAATAATTCAATGAGAGCAAAAAGTCCACCTCTCTCTTGTCTTCTCTCTCTCCGATCGTCGATTCTTCCGTCAAAACGACAGAAGATCTTGAATATCGGA